TGACCTCAGTTTTTCCTGGAATACTTTCTGTTCTTCTTCTTTGCCTATTGATTTTTACATTTGCAGGATTGAACTCAGGATGTCAGCCTTCCATGACATCCCCAATCTGGGTTAGATGCCCTCCTGTGATGCTTTAGCATCAAAGATATTTGTTTCTTAATTTTTTAAAGGAAAAAGTTAATGCTGGAATCAGAGGAATCTGGTTAATGCAAGAGTTGAGACTACAGTTTCAGTCTCTTGACACACTCAGATTTCCCCTCTTAATCATGTTGCTTTTTTATGTCCAGTTTTTAGTAATGGATATAGAATATCAATGACAGCTGTGTCCCTGGTGTCTAGAATCCCAAGGAGAAGAACTCTAAGGCATTGTTTGAAGTCGTCTTTCTCCATTCCCTTTTCCAACAGGTGTAGGTGGCTTTTTTTTCTTTTAACATTAAAGGAAAATGTTCTACTTTCACTAATGATGGAGTACCTTATATTTAGCCTATTATTCCACAAATGAGAATTACAAAAACTGGACAAAACAAAACAAGAACAAAAACTATCTGAAGGCACTGAAAAACAACAGCAGACACAAATTGCTGCAGAGGTGACACCTAGAAATGGCATCAGCTGGGAGAGTTAACTGACCGCCCCCCTCTTTAAAAAATTTTAAACAGCTTTTTGCCAATGGCAGGCTTCAATGAGTGCTGGGTCAGGTAGTACTATCTGCAGTCTTACTGGCTTGAGGAAACAAGAGTGCAGCATTTAAGACACTATATTAGCCAGAAATGGAAAGGAAATCCTCTGAAGAAAGACAACCACACATGCTGGGAATGGTAGCTCACGCTTGCAGTCCTAGCACCTTGGGAGGCTGAGGCAGGCGGATTACGAGGTCAGGAGTTTGAGACCAGCCCGGCCAACACAGTGAAACCCCATCTCTACTAAAACTACAAAAATTAGCTGGGTGTGGTGGCAGGTGCCTGTAATCCCAGCTACTCGGGAGGCTGAGGCAGGAGAATTGCTTAAACCTGGGCGGCAGAAGTTGCAGTGAGCCAAGATTGCACCACTGCACTCCAGCCTGGGCAATACAGCTAGACTCCGTCTCACAAAAAAAAAAAAAAAAGAAAGAAAGAAAGAAAGCCAGCCACACATAAACCCACACTCTGCATATAAACTCTACTGAGATTTCTGGCTGACAAGTAAACTCTGAATGTACAGGACAGATTCTAAGAAGCCCAGATAAAGTTAAAATATCTGAACAGAAGTTTCAGCAGGTACCCACTGCAGGCAAGAGAGAGGTTGGAGTTAAGACTCAGTCAAGTTAACTGCCTGCAAACACAAAAAAATTCAACATTTCTCAGAAAATCATAACAGAATCCATAATATCTACAATGCAGCATTCCCAATGTCCAGTATACAATACAAAATTATTAGCTATATAAATAAACAGGAAAATATGACACACACTCAAAAGAAACAGTTGGAGACCAAACTTGAAATTACCTAGGTGTCAGAATTAGCAGAGAAAGCTATGGTGATAACTATGATTAAGGATGTAAAGAAAAAAGATGTTTGAAAATTAACACACAGGTAGGAAATCTCAAAAGAGAAATAAAAACTATAACCAAAATGATATTCTAAAACTAAAAAATATATTTGAGGTAAAAAAGAAAAAATTCCCTAAAAGGTGAAAACAGCAACGATGGAAGGGTCAGTGAACTAAAAGATAAATGGAAAGAAATTATCCAGTTTGAAAAGAGAGAAAAAAAGATTGGGGGGAAAAAACAGGGCCTGAGAAACACGTGGGATGCAATATTAAAAAATCGAACATCTGCATATTGGACTCTCATAAGAAAAAGAAAGGGAAGAGCAAAAAACTGTCTTTTGCTGAAGACAAACAACAAAACTGTTGCTTGGCTGAAACTCCATATTCATCAAAAATATCCATCAAGAAGGCCGGGCGTGGTGGCTCAAGCCTGTAATCCCAGCACTTTGGGAGGCCGAGGTGGGTGGATCACGAGGTCAGGAGATCGAGATCATCCTGGCTAACACGGTGAAACCCCGTCTCTACTAAAAAATACAAAAAACTAGCCGGGCGTGGTGGCGGGTGCCTGTAGTCCCAGCTACTCGGAGGCTGAGGCGGGGGAATGGCATGAACCCGGGAGGTGGAGCTTGCAGTGAGCCGAGATCAGGCCACTGCACTACAGCCTGGGCCACACAGCGAGACTCCGTCTCAAAAAAAAAAAAAAAAAATCCATCAAGAATAAAGATGAAATAGAGATTTTCAGATAAGCGAAAACAAAGCCAACTCCCTGCCCAACATACCTGCACGACGAGAAATGCTAAGGGAAATTCTTCAAACTAATGGGAAACAAAACTAGATGGCGAAACAGATCTTCAGAAAGAAATGAAGATCAGTGGAACTGATAAATATGTGGTTAAATATATAAGGCTATGTTTCATTCTCTCCTCATCTACTGGAAATACATGACTACTTAAAGTAAAAGTTATAATACTGAAATACAGGGTTATCACATTAAGAGAAAAAACCATGACAACTACTGCATAAAAGAAGAGTCATAAACAGAATTCTGTGGTTGTATAATTCTTGAAGTTTAAATTAAATGGTATTGTTTTATTTATTTATTTTTGGAGACAGGGTCTCACTCTGTCACCCAGGCTAGAATGCAGTGGTATGATCTCAGCTCACTGCAGCCTCAACCTCTCAGGCTCAAGGGATCCTCCCACCTCAGCCACCCAAGTAGCTGGGACTACAGGTGTGTGCCACCACAACCAGCTAATGTTTCTGTATTTTCATAGAGGCAGGGTTTCACCATGTTGCCTAAGCTGGTCTGGAACTCCTGAGCTCAAGCAATCCACCCACCTCAGCCCCCCAAAGTACTGGGATTACAGGCATGAGCCACCACCCCAGGCAAAAGGGTATTGTTTTAATTCTAAGTATACTGTGAGACGTTAAGAATGTATATTGTATATAGTCCCAGCTACTCGGGAGGCTGAGGCAGGAGAATGGTGTGAACCCGGGAGGCGGAGCTTGCAGTGAGCCTAGATTGCGCCACTGCACTCCAGCATGGATGACAGAGCAAGACTCCATCTCAAAAAAAAAAAAAAAGAATGTATATTGTAATCTCTAGTGCAATCCTAAAGAAAGATGTAGCTGTAGCTAAAAACCCGAGAGAAATTAAAATGAAATTCCCCCCCAAAAAAAAATTCATTAAGCTGTAAGAAGTAAAAAAAAGGATAAACAAGAATAAAAACAGAAAGCAAAATAGTAGACCTAAATCCAACCATGTCAACATACTAAACATAAATGGAGAAAGCACTTTAAAAGCAACACTGAATTATCTACAATAGATGCACCTCAAATACAAAGACAAGTCAGAAACCGGTTGGAAAAAGACATTTGATGAAAACGTAAGTATAAAAAGGCTAGCTTGTGTCTATAGTCCTAGCTACTCGGATGGCTGAGGCAGGAAGCTCTCTTGAGCCCACGAGTTCAAGGCTGTAGTGGGTTATAATCACACCTGTGAATAGCCACTGTACTCCAGCCAGGCAACTTAGTTCCTTTAAAAAAGCTTCTTATGGCATAATGTTTCGGGGGGAAAAAAATGGGGAGAGACTATATTATTTTCAGATATATACTCCAAGATAGAGTATTACCAGAAATAAAGACTGACATTTCTAATGATAAAACAGGACAGGCATAGTGGCTCATGCCTGTAAACCCAGCACCTTGGGAGGCCAAGGCGGGAGGATCGCTTGAGTCCAGGAGTTGGAGACCAGCCTGGACAACACAATGAGACAAAAAAAAAAAAAAAAAATTTTTTTTTTAAATTAGCCGGGTGCCGTGGCTTGCACCTGTGGTCCCAGCTACTAGGGAGGCTGAGGTGAGAGGATCACCTTAGCCTAGGAGGTAGAGGCTGCAGTGAGTCGTGATCACACTACTGCACTCCTATTTAGATGACAGAGTAAAACCCTGTCTCCAAAAACAACACAATAAAACAGATAATTTATCAGAAAAATATAATCATAAATGTAGATATGTCTGATATAAAGCTTCAAACTTTAAGAAGAAAATTTGTGGCCAGGTGCAGTGGCTCATGCCTGTAATCCCAGCACTCTGGGGAGGCTGAGGCGGGTGGATCACAAGGTCAGGAGTTCGAGACCAGCCTGACCAACATGGAGAAACCCCGTCTCTACTAAAAATACAAAATTAGCTGGGCATGGTGGCACAGTAATCCCAGCTACTCAGGAGGCTGAGGCAGGAGAATCTCTTTAACCCGGGAGGCAGAGGTTGAGGTGAACTGAGATTGTGCCATTGCACTCCAGCCTGGACAAAAAGAGGGAAACTCCGTCTCAAAAAAAAAAAAAGAAAAGAAAATTTGTTGTTATTTAATACCCCCTCCTTTTTTTTGAGACAGGGTTTTGCTCTGTCACCTAGGCTGAGTGTAGTGGCACGATAATGGCTCACTGCAGCCTTGACCCCCCAGGTCCAAGCAATCCTCCTACCCCAGCCTCTCAAGTGGCTGGGACCACAGGAGTGCACCATCATGCCTGGCTATGTTGCCCAGGCTGGTCTCCAACTCCTGGGCTCAAGCAATCCCACCTCAGCCTCCCAGTGCTGGGATTACAGGTATAAGCCACCATGCCTGGTGTTAAGAAGAAAATTTGAAGGATGAAGTGAGAGGACTGTGTGAGTGCAGGAGTTTGAGACTAGCCTAGGCAACACAGTGAGACCCTTGTCTCAAAACAAAACAAAAAGAAGAAAATTTGAGAGAATTAAAGGCAGAAACAGATTTTTAAAAAATCTCTATGATTGTGAACTAACATCCTTCTCATAGTAACTGAAATAATAAATAGATGAAAAAAGAGGCCGGGCGCGGTGGCTCAAGCCTGTAATCCCAGCACTTTGGGAGGCCGAGACGGGCGGATCACGGGGTCAGGAGATCGAGACCATCCCTTTCGGTCCTTGAGCACGGGGGAACAAGGTCGTAAGAACAAGGTCTTGGTGAGGTGCAGCCATTTCATCCATCCTCGGTCTGCGCCTTTCGCAGAGCTTCCAGCAGCGCTATGTTGGGCCACAGCATCCGGAGGTTCACAACCTCTGTGGTCCGTAGGAGCCACTATGAGGAGGGCCCTGGGAAGAATTTGCCATTTTCAGTGGAAAACAAGTGGGCGTTACTAGTTAAGATGTGTTTGTTCTTTGGATCTGCATTTTCTGTACCCTTCCTTATAGTAAGACACCAACTGCTTAAACAATAAGGATGTTTCAGTTCGTCCATTTACCAGATATGAAGAGCATTTTAAGAGATACAGCCTCTGGAAATGGATCAAACTCTAACTCATGGCATGCTAGATATGTTTTTCAATAAACTTATGACATGAAAAAAAAAAAAAAAAAGAATCAGTATGGACATAGATCATGTGAACAGCACTATTAACCAACTTAATCTAATTGACATTTGTAAAACACTACACTAACAACTCCACAAAATTGTTCTTTTCAAGTGTGCATGGTCTATTCACCAATACAGATCAAATGCTAAGTCAGAAGGTAAGTCTCAATAAATCTCAAAAGATGTATTGTAAACTTACATAGAGTATGTTCTCTGAGTATAATGAAATTAAATCAGAAAGCATCAGTAAGATACCTAGAAGAGCCCCAAGTATTTGGAAATTTAACATAATATTTTAAAATAAACCATGCTCGAATGCCACATGCAGTGTTTGGAAAAAAAAATAAAAATAAAAACAAAATACACCATGGGTCAAGAAGAAACCACGAAGTTAATTAGAAAATATTTTGGACTGTGGTGGCTCAAACCTGTAATCCCAGCACTTTGGGAGGCCAAGGTGGGAGGATTGCTTGAGCCTAGGCATTTGAGACCAGTCTGGGCAACACAGGGGGACCCTGCCTCTACAGAAAAACAAACAATTAGCCAGGTATGGTGCTGCATACCTGTAATCCCAGTTACTCAGGAGGCTGAAGCAGGAGGATAGCTCAAACCCAGGAATTTGAGGCTGCAGTGAGCTATGATCAAGCCATTGCACTCTAGCCTGGGTAACAGAGTAAGACTCTATCTCTAAGAAAACTTAAAAATAAATAAATAATTTTGAACTGAATGATGAAATCCAACACATGAAAATGTGCTAAATTTTAAAGCAGTGCTCAAAGAGAAAAGCTTTAAACAAAATTCTTCATAAGGCCGGGCACGGTGGCTGAAGCCTGTAATCCCAGCACTTTGGGAGGCTAAGACGGGCGGATCACGAGGTCAGGAGATCAAGACCATCCTGGCTAACACGGTGAAACCCCGTCTCTACTAAGAAATACAAAAAAACTAGCCAGGCGAGGTGGGGGGCGCCTGTAGTCCCAGCTACTTGGGAGGCTGAGGCAGGAGAATGGTGTAAACCCGGGACACAGAGCTTGCAGTGAGCTGAGATCCGGCCACTGCACTCCAGCCTGGGCAACACAGCGAGACTTCGTCTCAAAAAATAAATAAATAAATAAAATTCTTCATAAACACACAATCTTAACATTAGCAAATCAAATCCATTAATATATCAAAAATATAAATCTTGAGCTAATAGGGTTTATCCCAGGAATGCAAGGTAGTTTAGTAACATCACACATACACACATATATAGGCACATATATATGGATATTACATTATCATTTTTGGCTATGAGATCATATATATAATCCAGGTCAGTGGTCCCCAACTGTTTTGGCACCAGGGACTGATTTAAGGATGATTCAAGTGCATTACATTTTTTGTGTACTTTATTTCTATTATTATCACATTGTAATATGTAATGAAATAGTTATATAACTCACCATAATGTAGAATCAGTGGAAGCCCTGAGCTTGTTTTCCTGCAACTAGATGGTCCCATTTAGTTGCAGGATTGGGGGTGATGGGAGACAGTGACACTTGAAGTGTGTTGCTTATGTCCAGTCTACTCTGTAACAACCTTGTTTTGGTTGCTGTCACTGCAGAAAACGCTGCTTCACAAAGAATGTGGGAAACAGAAGCAGGCTTTTGAGTGCATTTGTGGCAATCTCAGAATATTCTGCCTTGACTTTAACCCAGAATGTATGGAGATTTGAAGTTGTCTCAAACATACTTTCAAGGCCTCTGTCATTTGCAATCTCAAGCAGTTAATCCTCTTCTAGCATGGACAAAGTCAATTCACCTGGCTTATTCACAAATGGGTGGTGGATCCATTCCTTCCCAATTCAGGGGTCTTTTGTGGTTGGGAAGTAATGCTCAAACTCTTTTGAAAGCTGAGATTGGTGATCATGCACCAGCTGGGAGAAAGAAGGCCTTGGCTCAATCTCTCTCAAAATCTCTGCAAATGTTTGAAACATGTCAGAAATCCTAATGTTCACTCATCGCCCCCATAATTCCAGTTTGGCTTTGAATGCAACCACTTTATCTGCCGATTTAAACACTGTCATCATTCTCCTCTGAAGTGACAGATTGAGTTCGTTGAGCAGGTTGAAATGTCACACAAGCAAGTTTTGCCACCCATTCTGTGTCACTGAGATGTGCTGCCATTGGTGACTGTTTTTCTGAAAGAAATGTCTGGAGTGGCTCTCGTAACTCAAAAACTCTGGCCAGTGAGGGACATTTATAAAGCCACTTCACTTCTGTGCACAAGAGAAGATGTGTGTGCTCTGCATCTATCTCCTCACAGAGCTATGTGAACATGTAGAGGCATGTACTTAAATGTGGATGCTAGTTTTAATCACATCCTGCAAAATGTTAAGTTCAGGTGACATTTTGCAGCTAGCTAGCCTTTCTCTGTGGATGACACAGTACATAGACTCACATTCGGAAGCAAACTCTTTGACCCAAGTAGTGAAACCAGAAAGCTGTCCAGTCATGGCAGCCACTCTGTCTGTGCATATGCTGACACAAAATGACCAATTCCATTTTCCTGATATGTAATCATTCAAAGACTTGAATAGTTCTGCAGCTATGGTGTTGGTTAGCAACAAAAGTGCACATAACATATCCTCATGCACATCCTCCTGAAAAATATAGTGCACAAAAACAAGCATCGTTGCCTTGTCAACACCAGTAGACTTGTCAACCTGGATTGCGTGCCACAGTGACTCATTAATGCTCTCTAACAATTGTGCCTCAATATCCTCTATTTAATCAATTCAACTACTTATGGTGCTAGCTGAGAGGTACATGTGCCAACTTCTGAACTGTGCCCTCTCCTGAAGGTTCAAAACAAATGTCCTTAGGATCAACTCTTTACCAATAGTAAAGGGCTTCTTAGCTTTAGCAATGCGGTTAGCTACTAAGAATGATGCTCTCAATGCAGACACATTTGAAGTGGTGGCCTTCAATAATTGCTTCTGTTCTTTATGTTCACATTTTTTTCTTTTGAAAAACTCCAGAGGCTTGTCTTTTAATGCAGGGTGCTGGGTCTCCACGTGGCAAAGCAGTTTTGAAGGTTTCATGGCTTCAATGGATAGCCCCGGTCACCACATATACAAAGTGGGCTTGGAGAATGTGAATCACCTGTTGCAATGAACCTGTAATTTAAGTAGAACTCTTGGTATTTTCTTTTAAATGCAGCTTTCTTTTTTGCTGACAGTCTCAGAGTCTTCTGCTGTCTCATCACTGGGTCTTTCCCTCTTTTCAAAGAAACTCTTGCTTTTTACTTATTTTGGCTAGAGTTAGCTTGTGGGCTAACAAAACTGTCAGTGAGACAAGTGCGCAGTGCAGGAAAAGAGGCTCTCTTCATTCTTTTTCTTACAGTTCAAACCTTAGACCTCAGCTCATTAGCCTCAAAAACCATTATGTAGATCAAAGTTGAGAAGTAATATTGTTTCTTCTATCCACTAAGAAAGCAAGGTGGAAGTATTGCCCTATTTTTTTTTTAATTGCATAAAACCCTACTAATAAAAATTTGACCCAAAAAAATCCAAAAATAAATAAATCAAGATGAGTACCTCCAAAAATATCGAGCAAATTATTTCCTATTAGCTGGTCTGGGTCTTCATTTATTTTCCAGAGACCCCAATTTCTTAAAGTTCCAAGTTCTGTTTCTATGGATAGTATCCTGCTCCTACAATCATCTTCCTCTCATTATTTTGTGTCTCACATTTTAATACTCTGATGTATTCAGAGGGTGAGACAAGCATCAGAATTATAAAAAGTATTGAGAATGATACTTTTTGTTTTCTGTTTTTGAGACAGGGTCTCTCTGTCACCTAGGTTGGAGTGCAGTGGTGCGATCACAGCTCACTGCAGCCTCAACCTCCTGGGCTCAGTGAAGGCTGAAGTGTCCCACTTCAGCCTCCCAAGTAGCTGGGACTACAGGTGCACGCCACCAAACCCAGTTAATTTTTGTATTTTTTGTAGAGATGGAGTTTTGCCATGTTGCCCAGGCTGGTCTCTAGGGCTCAAGAGATTCACCCACCTTAACCTCCCAAAGTGATGGGATTACAGGTGTAAGCCACCACACCCAGGCCAAGAACGTATTTTTGATCAGGGTAGGTTTTATACCTAGGACTCTGAAGACTGGAAGAATCTTCCATAAACCATGACCACTAGTTGGCTGTCCCTTTGGCCCAAATGATAAAGAAACTGCAGTGATTAGTGAAAAAATAAACTCTGTAGTGGTATATGGAAATTCAAAAAGAGAAGACAGATTATGTGAATATGCTAATACATAGCTCATATCAGGAAATATGTACCTTTACCCTTCCTACATCGTACTACCTGACCTGTGTGTCTTGGGTTACAAGGACAAGGATCATACCCAAGGAACAATGGAATAATCTGATGGAAAAGTCTAGGACCCTGAAAATGTGTGGAACAGAGCCTATCTCTGGACTTTTACATAAAAGAGAAATAAACTTCTATATTTTTCTTCTAATTTTAATCTATGTATTTATTTAAAGACTGGGTTATAAGACTGGCTAATTTTTGTATTTTTGGTAGAGATGGGGTTTCACCATGTTGCCAAGGCTGGTCTCGAACTCCTGGGCTCAAGCGATCTACCAGTGTCAGCTTCCCAAAGTGGTGGGATTACAGCCATGAGCCACCGTGCTGGGCCAGTTTCTATCGTTTTAAAGCCTTTGTTAATTTGGCTCTCTATTATTTGCAGCTGAACTTAATCCCAACTGATACAGTAGGTAAGGAGAAACAGGATGGTTAAGAGATTCCTTTTGAGTGAGCTGTAGAGTCATCTCATTGAAGAAGACTGAAAGAGTGGATGATAATTATCTGAGAAAGGAGATGCAGAAC